TATTTTTAGGTATATTTATGTTAAGTATGTCTAAAAATAAAAAAAATTACTCAAAATATTAAAAAAATCAGTAAAAACAAAAAAAACAAAAAATAAAGAAATAGAATTTCTGAAAAATATTTTTAAAAAATGATAACCAAGCATGGTATGTTTAGTAATTATTAAAAAAAAAATATTTTTATTAAAAAAAAATTTAGTTGATTCTTTTTTAACTTGTTTTTTTAAAAACTCATAATATTATATTATAATGCTATAGTGGAGCTTGTGAATTCAAGTTATGGGGGTGTTGACGGTAATTTCCTTTACCATTTCCATTTAATAGGTTTACTAGGAATACCCCATGCCTAAAGGCACTCTCACTATAATATCTAAATCGATTATCAAAATTTTAAATTTGAATAGAAAAGCACTAAATATTAATTGTATGTTTTTAAAGACAACTGTTGAACAATTTTTTTTAGAATTTGATCGAAACTACATAAGACAAATTCTCTAATTTATTTTCAAAATCAGCCATCTTTTGTTATATATAGATAATAAGTTCTAACTAGTGCTCAATGTTTTTAAAAACCGGACCGGGAACGAACCGGAAAAAAGATCGGGGTGGACGGGTCACCGGTTCAACCGTTGGGTTTGAACCGAAATTGAACCGTGACGTAATAAATATATTAAAATTATATTTAAATAAAAATATAGTAATAAAATTATAAAATTAAAATATTAAATTATTTTAAATATTTGTCTTAATATTTTTTACTGAAAAATATAAATATATATTTTGAAATATTATTAATTTCAATTTTGAAAGATGAAATCAAATATTTAATATTCTCTCCATATGATTTTAATTCAAATAATTTGATTGAAAGGAGAGCAAAAATTTTGGAGGGATATTAAAATTTCAATATTTCCTCCAATACATTTGATTGAATCCCACATGGATTTCTTGAGTCTTTTGAAAGAATTTTTTTCTTATAAATAGGTGAAGACTTTCACAATAATTTCATCAAAACTCTTAATGGGATTCCTCACAAGATGAGACCCTTAAAAAAGGATTTACAAATTAAAAAAAAAAAAAATGGAAATCGGTCCGGTTCGATCAACCCGTGACCGGGTCGACCGGTTCACCGATTTAACCGGTGGGTTCACCGATTTTCAATAAATAGTCCAATTTTTACAATTGACCGGTTTAAGAGGGCTAACCGGACTGAAACCCCATCCGGTCACCGGTTCAACCAGTTGAACCGACCGGTTCGATCCAGGTTTCAAAACCTTGCTAGTGCTTACCCTTGTCGAATGTTAAGTTCTAGTGCACAGTAAAATTGTGTAATTTCAATAAAATTCCTTTAAAAGGTTAATATTTTATAACATAAAACTTGAATTTTAGTATTTTTTTTTATCTTTTATATTTAAAAATAGCCAACATGACATCAATAGAAATGTCTTGAGAAAGTTATACGGGTAGTTTTCAAAAGTGTCCAACTACGACGAAAAAGTCTTGAGAAATGTCTTAAACAGGCTTTCCAAAAGCGTCCAATTCCTACGAAAAAGTTACAGGGGTAGTTTTTGTAATTTTTTTTACAACAATGGTAGAGAGTCATAATTTTTATGGTCACAATGGCTCAAAATTGTCAAAACGATGTCGTTTTGACATATTTTGCACCAAAAACGACGTCGTTTTGACAGTTTTGAGCCATTATGACTACAAAATTGTGACCCTTAAACATTTTTCTTTTTTTTAATGTTAATTTAGTTATATAATTGTAATTATATTAATTTTATCTTATAGTGTTTTATATTGTGTCAAATTGACAATATTTGTAAAAAAATTAAATAAAAATCAAAAGTGAAATATTTTATTCAAAAGGAAAATAATCATTTTAAATGGGACGAGAATACTTCAATAATGTTAAAGAGAATGAATGAATTAATTTGTCTATTAATTTCAACCTAATTTTTAATACAATTTAAAGTACAAAGTTCAAATTATTAATATATAAAAAAAGGGAGAATGTTAGAGATTCAAAACCCATGTAAATGTTTGGTAAAAAAAATTACTCCAGTAGAATTTTTTTTTTGTATCTCTAACCCTTGCTTAAAGAACAAATCATAAGAAAGATTGAAGGTGTAATTTGCCTTTAGTATAACCTTTCAAGGGGCAGATTGCTCTGCGTCCATAATCTAGATTGGGGAGCGTAATTTGAGACCGTGAGACTCACTATAAGTTCCGTTTCAATAATATAAATAGTTCATTTCGTGTCTTTCATTCAAAAAAAAAAAAAATAGATTGTTCCTATAATCATAAATTATTAATTATCGCGTTTGTTATCAAAAAAATATATGATTTGTATTTAAAAATACAATTGTTATTTTTTTTAACAAACATGATAAATTAAATAAGTTACGATTGTCTAATCGATCTAATTTTTTTGAGATGAAATACACAAAATGTCTAATAAAATCAACAATTCGGATCACTGAAATCAGACCCATGCCTTCAATTAGATTTGGAGTGGGTGTTCTCACACCTCATAAGGTTTATTCGGATCATATTTTGATGATTCGAACCGTCATATTATAGAATTAGTTAGATATATCATTCATATAAAAAATGAACTTAATCGGATAAGTATAACCCATGATCAACGCGAATAATAATTTTAAAAAATTATTAAAATTATGCCAACAATTTATTTTTTTAAAATATGAATGTGGTCATGTTGTGGATTACAAATATCTAATTAATTTAAAATTTTTCACAAATGATCTGCTCAACAAATTCTACACTATAAACGATTCAAATTATTAAAATAAGGGTAAATTACATTGACACCCCTTGAGGTTTGGGTTTAATATATATCACCCCCGACGTTTGGAAAATTGCATTCCCACTTCTATAATTAATTGTCTCATTTCAAAAATCTCCCTACTTATATAAAAGACAACAACTTCTGGTAAAAAAATAGAGGAAATTACATTGAAAAAAAAGTAAGCAAAGGAAGAAAAAAAAGAGTAAAACAAAACAAGAAAAAGAGAGAGTTTATGAATTCAATGTCTTTTTGATACTGATGTTAATTCTATCTAAATAATTACAATAACAACGGTCAGTATATTTTCCAAACGTCATAGAGTAATATGTATTAAATCCAAACTTCAATAGGTGTAAATATAATTTACCCTTAAAATAAATTTGAAATATGCGTTTAAAAACTCATAATACGATATTATGCTAGCGAGGGATAGTAACAACCTAAATTCACCCCCAATTCAGATTATAAGAGTGTTTGGAAAGAGAATTTGGTTAAAATAATTCGATAGAAATAGGTTAAAATAATCCAACAGAAATAAATTAAAAGTTAATTTTTAATTTTTTTTTTAAAAATCTGTAAAAAAGTAAAATAATAATATGACAAAAATAAATTAAAAAATAAAAAAAAAAACTTTTAACCGCCGAGTCAAAACAAGCGAATTAATGAAGCACATGTTGGCAGGTGCCACCACTTAATTGGGGAGTTTCATGTATTGTTGCTGTTGTTATATAATATAGTTTTTTGGGGTAAGCGTTTCTCGTGTACAAATTCACAAACCATTCTCTACAATTCAAATCAGAATTCAGAACTCTCTCTCACCTCACCAAACCTCTCTCTAAATTCTCTGAAATCAATTTCAAACTGTACCATCGATCCGATCTCTCTGTCTCTCTCTCTCTACAAGACAACTAGTAGCATGGCTGGAACATCGGTCTCTCCGATACCGATTCTGAAGGATGAACTGGACATAGTCATACCCACGATTCGTAACCTAGATTTCCTGGAGATGTGGCGGCCATTTTTTCAACACTACCATCTCATAATCGTCCAAGACGGTGATCCGAGCAAGATCATCAAGGTCCCCGAAGGATTCGACTACGAGCTCTACAATCGCAACGATATCAACCGAATTCTGGGTCCCAAAGCCTCTTGCATCTCCTTCATCATTCATATAAAAAATGAATTTGATCGGATAAGTATAACCCATGATCAACGCGAATAATAATTTAAAAAAATTATTAAAATTATGCTAACAATTTATTTTTTTAAAATATGAATGTGGTCATATTGTGGATTACAAATATCTAATTAATTTAAAATTTTTCACAAATGATCTGCTCAACAAATTCTACACTATAAACAATTCAAATTATTAAAATAAGGGTAAATTACATTGACACCCCTTGAGGCTTGGGCTTAATATATATCACCCCCGACGTTTGGAAAATTGCATTCCCACTTCTATAATTAATAGTCTCATTTCAAAAATCTCCCTACTTATATAAAAGACAACAACTTCTGGTAAAAAAATAGAGGAAATTACATTAAAAAAAAAGTAAGCAAAGGAAGAAAAAAAAAGAGTAAAGCAAAATAAGAAAAAGAGAGAGTTTATGAATTCAATGTCTTTTTGATACTGATGTTAATTCTATCTAAATAATTACAATAACAGCGGGTCAGTATATTTTCCAAACGTCATAGAGTAATATGTATTAAATCTAAATTTCAATAGATGTAAATATAATTTACCCTTAAAATAAATTTGAAATATGCTTTTAAAAACTCATAATAAGATATTATGCTAGCGAGGGATAGTAACAACCTAAATTCACTCCCAATTCAGATAATGAGAGTGTTTGGAAAGAGGGATAGTAACAATCTAAATTCACCCCCAATTCAGATTATAAGAGTGTTTGGAAAGAGAATTTGGTTAAAATAATTCGATAGAAATAGGTTAAAATAATCCAACAGAAATAAATTAAAAGTTAATTTTTAATTTTTTTTTTAAAAATCTGTAAAAAAGTAAAATAATAATATGACAAAAATAAATTAAAAAATAAAAAAAAAAACTTTTAACCGCCGAGTCAAAACAAGCGAATTAATGAAGCACATGTTGGCAGGTGCCACCACTTAATTGGGGAGTTTCATGTATTGTTGCTGTTGTTATATAATATAGTTTTTTGGGGTAAGCGTTTCTCGTGTACAAATTCACAAACCATTCTCTACAATTCAAATCAGAATTCAGAACTCTCTCTCACCTCACCAAACCTCTCTCTAAATTCTCTGAAACCAATTTCAAACTGTACCATCGATCCGATCTCTCTGCCTCTCTCTCTCTACAAGACAACCAGTAGCATGGCTGGAACATCGGTCTCTCCGATACCGATTCTGAAGGATGAACTGGACATAGTCATACCCACGATTCGTAACCTAGATTTCCTGGAGATGTGGCGGCCATTTTTTCAACACTACCATCTCATAATCGTCCAAGACGGTGATCCGAGCAAGATCATCAAGGTCCCCGAAGGATTCGACTACGAGCTCTACAATCGCAACGATATCAACCGAATTCTGGGTCCCAAAGCCTCTTGCATCTCCTTCAAGGACTCTGCTTGCCGTTGCTTCGGCTACATGGTCTCCAAGAAGAAGTATATCTACACCATTGATGACGATTGCTTTGTAAGCCTCTCCTCTATCACTCTTTCTTTTCTAACTGTTTCTCATCTCCAACTTTTTTCATTTTCTCTTTTGTTTTTAGCTCAATTCATTGATTTGGGTGTGTTATTGAAGTCGTCTGTGTGTTTGGATCTGACTCATTTTTAATCGGAATTTGATCTGTTTGGTAGCTTAGAAATATTCTCGTTATGATTTCATACCAAGAAATTAACAGAAAAAGAACTACCATTTGAAATCTATGTTCACCATTTGAAAAAGAACTACCAAATCTGAATTTGAAAATGTTTGACATGTGTTTCAGTTTAATGACCTTTGTAGTAACTGTTTCTGCAACAGATTTGATGTTGATTTGTGATCTATTATTCTCTGACGGTGACTTGTTAACTGTGGGTTGCTTCTTTCTTTCTATAAATGTTTGATCATTGTGGATCTTGATTGATTGATCAATGCCTATGCCAATTTGGTATACTCTGAACCCCGCTGATAGATCCCCGGTCTCTTTCATTTTTAGTCGAATTTTATTGTAATTATAGGATGCTTCGGGTTTTAAATTTTGTTCCATTTGGGGGTGATGTCGATGCTTTTATTTTCGCAATTGAATTTGGTAATGTCAAATTAACTTCAATTATGCTTCAGATCTAGATCTAGATCTAGTAGTATGTGTTTCATTTTTGTATATTAGCCGCAACTCTCGGCCAGACCTGTTATGTTGTACATTTAGAAAGTTTGGTTTTGTTTATTTCATGCCCAAAAATTTTGAATCTTTAGATTATATATCTGCATTGGAATTGACTGTTATAACCTTCCAATTCACAATTCAATACAAGTTTGAACCAAAACAATTTGATTCGACTATTGAATCTTAAATTAAGTGAATTGTACAATTCAACTGCGGTTTAGTATTATTCATTGTGATTTACTATGATTCCCTGCGATTCAGTTGTGTTTTCAAAATGCATGAAATGGTATCATTTCCGTAAAATTAAAAAAAAAATAAAATTAAAAAAGAAGATTAATTAATATATTGATAATATATGTGGTTTTATATGTATGTAATATATATAATTTAGTTATATTAATATGTATTTCATTTATGTGGTTTTATATGTGTGTAATATATATAATTTAGTTATATTGATATGTATTTCATTTATAATACTATGTGTGTAGTTTTATATGGATACACATAAATTATATATTATGATTCTTACGATTCACTAGTTTAATAAAATGATTTACAATACGATTTGCTATTTAACAACATTATCTCCTCTGTTCTTCCGGTTTCCCCCTTCCTGTTATCATGCTGAATTTGCTTCTTTGATTGTTCTGATCAAAATATTGAGGTGCTCTATCGGCTTTGCTGTTACAAATTTGAATTGTTTCGCATATGCTTTCTATTGGGATGCCATTTTGTTTGCTTTGTGTTTTAAGTTTTTGATATTGCCTCACAGGTCGCTAAAAATCCTTCCGGCAAAGACATTAATGCACTCGAGCAGCATATCAAGAACCTTTTGAGCCCCTCGACTCCATTTTTCTTCAATACCCTTTATGACCCATACACAGAGGGTGCTGATTTTGTCCGTGGATACCCATTCAGTCTCCGTGAGGGTGTCCCTACTGCAGTTTCTCACGGCCTCTGGCTTAACATCCCCGATTACGATGCACCCACCCAGCTTGTCAAGCCTCGTGAGCGAAACACTAGGTACAATTATCATTTGCACATACTTATCAAAATAATAATAATAATAATGAAAATCAGCATAACAATTGATCTGTGTCGGCTTTATCAGGTATGTAGATGCAGTTATGACAATTCCAAAGGGAACCCTCTTCCCCATGTGTGGTATGAATCTGGCATTCAACCGTGAGTTGATTGGCCCTGCAATGTACTTTGGACTTATGGGCGATGGCCAGCCCATTGGACGGTACGATGACATGTGGGCCGGCTGGTGTACTAAGGTATTATTCTTTTCATATTATTTCTGTCTTGATTCTTGTAGTTTCATCCATCCTCCGGATTATGTTCTCAGTGTTCTTATAATCTGCATTAGTAATGCTCTTTCGTGCTTTCTCTAATCATCAAGGGTGGCCCTAGACAATTTGGGGCCTTTGGTGAAAAATCTAGATAACGCCTATGGATAAGCTTAAAATTTTGAACCCGTTGACTAACAGTCCCTTTCCCTGTTTGATCAGCAGTCCGGGGTTCATAATATTGTCTTTGATCATTGAAGAAGCCACTAAGAGGTTTTGATTTATTGTTCGTGTAGGTGATATGCGATCACTTGGGATTGGGGATCAAGACGGGTCTGCCCTACATTTGGCACAGCAAAGCGAGCAACCCATTCGTGAACCTCAAGAAGGAATACAAAGGTATCTACTGGCAAGAAGAGCTGATCCCATTTTTCCAATCTGCGACCCTTCCAAAGGACTGCACCACCGTGCAGAAATGTTACATTGAGCTCTCCAAGCAAGTCAAGGCAAAGCTCGGAAAGGTGGATGAGTACTTCCTCAAGCTGGCCGACGCCATGGTCACATGGATTGAAGCGTGGGATGAACTCAACCCGGCTGAAGGAGAAGCAGCTGTACTAACCAAAGAATCCGGAAAATAGATAATCTGATATAGTTTCTCTGATCTTTTGATAGATCTATTCATGTATCGTTTATTTATCAGCCTTGCCGTATGAGAAAAGAGTATTTGTTTTTTGCAGGTTCGAAGTTATATCTTTGTTATTTTCGATGAGTTATTAAGAACAATAAAATATTATGCATTTTCCATTGAAGTAGATCGCTTTGTTTCTTGATTTTGCTTTTGATTTTCTGTTTTTGTTTTTCTGATGATTGAGAGAAGATGGTGGGTTTTGGAATGTCAATTATAAAAGTTTAGTGAGTTTTTTTTGTTTGTTTGTTTGTCTGTCTGTTCGATTGTCTTTTGCATTTGAATTTCAAATTGAGAATGCTGACAGAGCAGGTTTTGCTTTTCTTTTTTTGGGAATTACAATTCATTGTAAGTTTTTTAAAAAATTACACACAAGTGATAAATTTTATAAATATTAATAATTATAATTATAAATGTTTTCATTTATTTGTAAATATATTTTTTTACCCTCTACTAGAGTGTAACATCTCTTTCATTTTAATACACTAGTTGGACTTGGAAAGTAAAAAAAAAAATTTATTAAAGAAAAAAGGACATTTAGGTTGTGTCAAAAGAAATCTATTTGTTTATTAGTTGATTCACCAAATTAACTATTTGTTGAAATGCCAGTGGCGCATAGGGACAAAGTGAGGCTATTTGTTGAATATCATATATTTATTTATCTCGCCACCACCCTTAGCTGCCGCCAACTTTGATTTTTTTAGCCCTAACAACTTTTTCCAATGTTTTCTTATCACTAAATAAAATTTTATTTTAGATCTAATATCTTATACCTTTGTATATATTTAGGATAGATTTTTCACTAATTTTTTCAAGAAAAAGCTAAAAAAGTAGATTTTTTAATTTTTTTTTGTTTATTGCCTTAAGAGAACTTTTATTTTAATTTTTCATTTTTCACTTCTAAGATTCAGTTGACTTGAAGTTTTTGACACAAAGTCTTAAAAAAATTCAATAAAACAAAAAAAAAATAAAAAATAAAAAATATCAATGGATTTGAAAATAACTACTGTGTCAATTGGTGGATCGGTTTTGAAATCATCTCTTCATTTTTTATTTTTCTTCTTGCGGGTATTGTGGGGCTCACTTTAAGGCTGTATCTTTAGCACAACAATTACTCTAAATTCATGACTAGCGGGACTATGACCTCGTTTGATAGAGTTGTAAAAAAGTGATTATAACTTATAATTTAATAGTTTATAATTTATAACTGTGAACATAAGTTAATTTTTTACTTATAAATTAAGTTTCTCCTCCCCCATTCAAAAAATAAGTTGATTTTTGACTTATAAAAAGCTATAAGCTGTATTGTTAAGCTGAACCAAACACATCAAAATAACTTAAATTAAGCTAAAAGTTAAAATAAGTTAAACATAAGCCCTACCAAACAGAACCTATGAAAAGTACTTCACTTATTTTATGTTTGAAATTTTGAATCTAATGTTTGTCAATACAAAAGAAAATGAAAGCAAATAATAATAATAATAAAATATTTAACAAAAATCGATGATTCCTTATTTCTTCAACTTTGAAAGTATCCATAGATATTAAAAAATGGACATTTTTTGAGAAATGTTTATTAACTTTCTTTTCATTTTCGTCGCCAATCAAACAACAGCAAAGAATTTGGAACCTCTCTATTTGGTATGATGTTAGTAACACTTAAAACGAATGAATTTATAGTGTGAATTTTAAATTTTAAATTTGGAACCTCCCGTGCATAGTGTGAATTTTAAATTTGGTATGATGTTAGTAACACCTAAAAAGAATGAATTTAATTCACATATTTTTTGAACATTTTCTAAATATTTTGTTTTAACATCAAATTCTAGAACCAAATAAAATCTTAACACTATTATAATAAGGAGAATTTTCTTAAGGTCCCTAATATTAAGGTTTTATAAGATAAAAGATATAATATTTTCATAATAGTTAAGATCCCTCAATATTTCTACAGAGAAAATTCGACTCAGAGAAATTTTACCCAATTCAAAAAAATTTCACCACATCTCAGAGATATTTGAATTTTCACAGAGAATTTTTTCTAATTTTACAAAGAAATTTTAAAATTTCTCTGTGATCATACCAGAGAAATTTTGAAATTCCTCTGAATCGGGTAAAATTTCTCTGTGAAAATGTTGAGGGAACTTAACTAATAAAAAAATTTATCGTAGACCTGTCCTATTACACAAAGTTGAAAATGGATGTTTCACTAACTTTTTCTTATAATAATGATAGTAATATATATATATATATAAATATTTTACTTTTTAAATCCATTTAAATTTGTAATTCTAATTTTTTTTTTTTGACTAACATATGAAAAACAAATTTAAAAACAACAAAACACAAAGAAGAAAAAAATATTTTTAAAAACACAACCAAACAGAAAGTTATGTGACAAATGATGTTCATTGGCATGACCAACGTATCAAAAATGGATAATTTTTTTCCAAAACCGAGGATGAAAATGTTTGGGTTCATTTTCAGAACAACAATGATACATTCTTATAAATTAGAGCTTTAAGGCCTCGTTTGATAGGTGATTTTTTTTAACTAAAAAATTAAAAAGTTATTAAAAAAATTAAAAAGTCAACAACTCATATAAAAAAGTCAAAAAATCTCTTTTCTCTCTACTTTTTACACATTTTTTCTTAAAAAGTAAAAAATTCATCACAAACATACTAGTTTTTTTTAGCTTATATTTTAGTCAAATAACCAAAAAGTTACTAAATTAGTCTGTTTTCAAACGAGGCATTAGTGAAGTGAAAAGTCAAAAAACAAAAAAGAGAAAAAAAAAAAAAATTAAGGCCAAAACATCACATTAGATGGATCCCACGTACACATTCAGCTTATTTGGTTCCATTTTTCTAAAAATACTTTTTAGAAAATTCTATTTTCTTATTTTTTGTTTTTTTTTTGTTTTTACTGAAATTTCTTTAACATTTGAAACAATTTTTTTACTTTTTAGACACACCTAACATAAATAGACCTAAAAAATAAAAAAATTGTAAAAATAATCTTTTAAAAATTCACTAAATACCAAAAATACAAGAATTCAGTACATTTTTTTGTATTTTTATGTATTTGTTAATTTTTTAAAATATTTTTTTACAAAATTTTTACTTTTTAGATACATCTAAGTAAGGTGCATCTAAAAAAGTAAAAAAATATATTTAAAATTTTAAAAATATTCACTAAAAAAAAAAACAGGAAAACTAAAAAATTCAATTTTCAAAAAATTTAATTCAAAAAACTCAAAGCAAACACACTGATTAGAGCTCACAAATTAGAGTTCCAAAACATTTTTGTTTTCAGAATGACCTTTGTAGAACTTTTTTGATAAATTAAAAAAAAAATGATATATAAGAATTGAATATAGAAAGTGAGTTTATTTTTGGGGCTAAATAGTGATACGATAAAATAAAGAGTATATCTAAACTCTTATTTACAAATATTATAGTAGCTCGGGTTGTATCTAATATTTTTTGAAATAATAAGTCCTATTTAGTAAAATTGATAATATTATCAGTTTTTTTTTTCAATTTTTAAAACTAAGAATATTATCAATTTTGCATAATAACGTTCAAGATAATTGTTTCACTAACTGATAGGGAAAAAAAACAGAGTATGAGATTAAACGTTTTTGTCCTTCTACTTATTAGTTTGATTTAACTATCCAATAAAACCGAGAACATTATCAGTTTTTTCATTTTTAAAGTTTTTTTTAAAATTTTTATTTTTTTTACATATCAATGTTCCATCATCATGCTCTTTTATAGACACAAAATTTTCATTTTTGCACAAAAAATAATTTAGTTTTTTTTCAATTTTTTCAAAAAAAAAAAAAAAAAAACTTGTTTGGTTTTGGTTTCCAGAAAATACTTTTCAGAAAATTCTACTTTTTTATTTTTCGTTTTTTTTTTGTTTTCAATGATTTTTTTAATATTTTAAGTAATTTTTCTAATTTTTAGACACACCTACATAAATGCACTTAAAAATATAATATTTGTACCAAAAATATTAAAAAATAATAATAAAAAGAAAATTTAGTATATGTTTCGTATTTTTGTATATTTATTAATATTTTAAAATATTTTTTCACAAATATTTTACTATTTAGATGCATCTAATTAAGGTGCATCTAAAAAAGTAAAAAAATTTCTTAAAATTTAAAAAAAAATTCACTAAAAATAAAAAAAATATAAAAAACAAAAAACTCAATTTTTAAAGAATTGAATTCAGAAAACTGAAACAAAGCACATGGAATTAGTTTTTTTCTTTTTTACAATTTTTTTTTTTAAATTTAAAAGTTGATATTTTAAAGTTTTGAAAATCAAAATAAATGTCAAAACATCATATTCCGTTATAGATAATTATAAATGATGAATAATCATTTTTAAAGAGTAATTTTGACTATTAAAAATTTAATGAGACTTAAAAATTTTAAAAATCTTAATTAAAACTTAATAGAATATAAATTCATAAATTAAAATTTATGTGTAAATATCCAAAAATAAATAATGAAAAAGTATATATATTGAAGAATATAACAGTAATGAAAATAACGATGGTTGTAAAAATATTCATTTGTCGCCGTTGCCGGGGATCGAACCCGGGTCACCCGCGTGACAGGCGGGAATACTTACCACTATACTACAACGACTTTGTGATGCAAAGTTTGTTAGTAAGTTTTTATTTGTAAATAAATTGTATTTGTGAAATCCCATGAACACACTTTATACCTATATTCAGGGTTAATTATAATTAGCACCCCTTCACTTTTACTGTAATCTCACTTTGTCCCTTCACTTTACACTTTAATTAAATTGCAATATCACCATTTTATTTGTCTATTGTTAATGAAGTTGATGAAAATTAAAAATGAAAGAACCAAAGTGAAATTTTGTTGAAATACAAAAACTAAAGTGAGATTTTGATGAAAGTATAAGACTGTTAATAGAACGAAAAAAAATATCATGTTTAGCTTACATGATAAATTTTACCAACTTCATTCACCGTAATAGTTACAATTAAAAGTAAATAAATCAAAATATAATTACAGTGAACGTGTACAGACGCTAAATGTTACTAATCCCTCTATTCATAGTAACTAAAAGGGTTATTCTATACCACAATTATTATTTT